AGCCCTTCTCCCTCGCAAGGAGCGACAGCGAAAATTCTCCTTTCCCTCCTGGCGTGGCCATCGGTAACGCCAGACCTTCACCGGCCCGAAGGTCCTGCCCTGCTGGGGGGCTCTCAGCAACGCCCCGGCGCGCAGGTTGCTCTCCCGCGGAAGGCACCCCCGCTCCGGCGGTAACCCTGCGCTTCTCCCCGCGGAGTGGCCGTGCTTCCCACCTATACATTAACCTCCAGGCGGTAAAGGGCGAACCCAAAGGCCCCCGTGTTGCCCTGACCTTACAGGTTTTCAGCGCCAATTAAAGACCCGCCCGAGTCGGAGAGTCGGTCTCCAAACCCCCCATTTCCCCCCTCCCGTCAGTAGGAGCGACTCAAGCAACTTACACGATAGACCACCGGGCAGAAATGACACCCTTCCTCCCTCCCGCCCCCCGAAGCGTCGTACCAAGCCTCTGATCCTGCATGAAAACACAAGGGTTACTGATGACACAGTTTAAGGTAGATTTCATATTTATTTAAATATTTATCAAGTACTCAAAAATGTATTACACTTGAGCATACAAAATGAATCCAGTTTCTAATCAGGATGATTGAAATCCTTGTATTAGATTTTTAACCTTTTTTATGTTCTCTTTACTGTCGAAATGGTTTGTCTCTATAGCTGAGCTTGCTCAGGGTGGGCTGAGATGGTGAGGAGGGAGGAAAAAGAAGGTTATGTTAAGAAAACATTAGGGTTTGGAGTAACTGTCATGCAAACCAACTTGTCTTTGTCAGACTAAAAATTTCTGTATATTCCAGTTGTTAAGGGTTTTTTAAAGCGAGCCTTTGTCTTGTGCTGGCCGGGAGCACTTGGATAGGCGCAAAACCAACCCTTTCCTATGTTTTGTTTTGGTTTTTTTCTTCTTTCTACTTTTCCCCAAGAAATCGCCCACGTTTTTAGCTTTCACCACCCTCTCCCCCGCAAATTAAAAAAGGAAGAAAAGAGGGAGTGAAGAGAGGGAAGTCGACAGAAAATAAGGAACAGCATTCGTGCAATTTCATAGCAATATCCCCTCAAAGTATTCCTCCTGCAGCATTTTTCAATCGTTTTGACAGCAGACACTGATAAATAATGGTCATACTTGACTTGTTAAGCAAAAAGCGTCCCTTTTATCAGGAGCTTATACTTAAAGTACAGGTCACTTCAACAATCTCAACAACGAGGCTTTGGTATACAGCACTTTCTTTTTTAGTATTTTTAAAAAATAATAGAACTCAGCAAAAAGCCTGAGCTCCTAGTTCTTTAGATGTCTTAACGTTACGTCAGATCATGCCTAGAGTAATATCACTTCTAAGGGCAAGGTGGGGAGGGAACAAGAGAGTTTCTAACGTTATCGATTGAAAGCTAAGGCATCCAACTAGCCCTGATATAGTTGTTGAAACGTAAATTTACAAGCTGGTCGTTAATACTGGCGATAAAGTATCACACTCCTTTTATTCATAACGACCTGCTTTGCATGCAATATTTTATTTCAGGTATTTTAGCTGCTAACCTGTAAATATTTAAAAGAGGGAACTTTGTTCATTATTTAATATTAATATTATTATTATTTTCTCTATTCCAAACGCTTATTTAGTGAAATAGTCCTGAAGATATAATAATTCTACATATGGCGCTTTATTTCACATAATATTTAAGAAAAAAAAAAAAGACAAAAAACCACGTAGAATTAGACATATAATTCAAAGACCACGGTACAACCTTTTCTTTTTTTTTTCTTTTTTTCCTTTTTTTTTTTCTTTTTTTCTTTTACTTCAGCAAACAAAAAAATAGTCTAATGACATGAAAAGTGGCAAGTCTTCCGATAATAAATAATAAATTACTTTATAATTTTGCAATGCAAACAAAAAGGGTGTTTTTTTTTCTTTTTCCTTTTACTTTTTTTTTTTTACTTTTTTCCTCTTTATGTCTAGAGAGAGAAAGAGAAAGAGAAAGAGAAAGAGAAAGAGAAAGAGAAAGAGAAAGAGAGAAAAGCAGTCGTTTTAACCAATGACTATACACATCTTTGGGGGAGGGGAAGGTTCTTGGACGGACATATTTCAAACACAATCCCGAGACGCTTTGTGGCAAAATAGAGGTATACCTTGTTGCAATGCTTTTATAAATTGGTTTTTAAAGAGGAATTCAAAAACCTATTTTTAATCGCTTCAGACTTGATAGAGGGTGGATCTCAACCAAACAAAATCAAAACCCCGCTACAGTACATGCTAGAAGAGACCCAGGAAACAACCCCTTGTTAAAAGTCAACTAAAAACAACATTGCAAACCAATGCAGCTCCACCTTCCTGCAATGAATCTTTCAACAATGCAGGGCTAAATCGTCTCTTTCCTGATGATGGAAAACCTACTGGAGCTCCTTTTGGCAAGGCAATCCCCAATATAGAAACAGCACCATTCGGGTTGGGAGGGACTGGATAGAAAGTCCCTCTACCTTGGTTTTTCCCTAAGATGTGCAGTCAAATGAAAAGATTTTTTTTTTTTTTTTTTTTTTTTTTTTTTAAGATCCACGAGTACAAATGCTTTACGTTTTGAAAACGTCTTTTCTATCCCCTTCAGCTCATTGAATAGTGCGGGGTTTGGGGTTGTTTTTTTTTTCTTTTTTTCTTTTTCTTTTTTTTTTTTTTTTATTCTAGTAAGATCCCATGATTGTCTTCACAGTGTTGCTACCATATTACCTTGTCGTTTCAAACATGACTCCGTTCATTTCATGGAGCAGTTCCTTGCTAGGTTCGTTACAGGGTTGTTAAACACTTTTTTTCCCCTAAATTTCGGAGTCCCAATGCGATCGCTTTCCC